GAATAGTTTAAGCATAAATGAGATTTTTCAAATAAAGATATAGATAGACAAACGTCTGGAAAAACGTCCTTTATTTCAAATAAATCTAATGTAAATTAACTTTTGTAAAAGATAGTTTTTTTTTGGCATAGCATTCTCCATTATATGATTTTTTTGTTGTTTAACAACTTTCACAGGTATTATTTAATGATACATACAACAATAATAGCATAAACCACTAAGTTACAAACCTTAGTCGAGTCATATTATTGTTATTCGATCTATTATCATACTATATAGTAGTTTTTTTTTTGTCACAATCATATATAGTAATTTATGTTTTTGTTTTATTGAATTTATTTATCCCAGTCGAAATAGTCTTCACGTCGCACAGATCCTTTCCAATGTCTTTCACGGACCAAAGGTTTTGGCTCATTGTCTACGATCGTCCACTTACAAAAATCACAATGGTCTCTTCCATCTTTGAATATTGTAAACCAATGATCTCCACCACCACGCCATGTGAAATGGCAACGAAATTTTGTAGTGCCTTTCCAATTTACCTTAAATCTGAAACTCCAAGTATAAGGATAACGAATATGTTGTAACCCCAAATCATCCTCTGTTGACTTGCAATGTACATTTATAGTTGCTCTGCTGCTTAATCTGTTAGCGATCATAATTTCTTTTTGCTGAAAAGGTAACAAACGTCTCGTGGTTGGTACTAATTCCGATGATGAATCAGCATTTGAGAAAGCTAACAATGAAGACAATGACACATAGAGAACAAGACCGTAGATCATGAGTTTTGCGCACTGCTCATTAATAGCGAAAGCCATGGTTTTGAATGCTATAGAACGAGATTTTGGAGAAGCACAATGAAAATATTTATAGTCTTATTTTTATTTAATTATAAAAGATATACGCAAATATTTATAGTATATTCTTGTTACCTATTTATAGTTTATGGTTTCCTATTCATATCCAAAGGATCATGACTTGACCAAAAAATCCAAAGAAACACGAAAAAAAACCAATCTAAAGATACTAAAAACTGATAACAGTAGGAATTAGGAAATCTTTCTCAGATTATATAAATAGTAAAATCTTTTATATGTTACCATGAAAGAAAGTTTAATCCAAATACATGTGAATATAGATTAGTTAACAATGAAAAAAAAAAATGAAACACCAACAAATTCAAAGCTTATATGTATGTACTTATACAAACACAAATAGTAGAATCAGACATAAATTACTAATTTACGTCTTCAAACTACAAAGGTATAATTTTCACATTCGACAAAAAGAAAAGAAATTACGATGGTGAAATATCAACGTTGTATTTATCTTTTGAAATTATACGAGATAATTTTAAATGGGCAGATGGAGAAGAAGGGAGACACGATATCCAATCCAATCTTCGTTAATTTGGTTCATCCCCGTTGAAAACATATGAATTAAAATCTATACTTTTTCATGCATTATGTCAAATTTAAAACACAAAAATGACGCTAAGTCATAATGCACAAAAGTATATTTGCAATGTTATTGTGACGATAATACAGCGTATACAAACATATACTACGAACCATATGTACTTATACGAACGTATCTTTACAGCAAAAACTATATAAAAAACATACTTTAATCCCTTGAGTACTACTATATACCTATTTTCTATATTTATAAACAACAAGACATGTATATATGCTTTCTTATATTATCTATTCCTAGCTCCACAAGTCAAAAAAAAAAAACAATACTAGCCAATTACAAGTATATATGGGCATTTTCTATATAGTATATAGTTAGTTACGTTGTAGTTAATTTAAAACGGAGCACGGTGTGGTACGCCCTTCCTTCTGCTTGAATTGCGGTGATTATATATCGGCGGTGTCCCCGGAGAAAGATTAAAACCGCTTTCATCACCGGAACTCGAAGACCGTTGATCTCCCGAAAAGTAATCAGATTTAACGGTGGAGATGGACAGACCGCTCATCAGACGGTTGAATGCACATGTCTTGCGTATCTTAGTTGGTGTGGTCGCCTCATCAGATTCCCACCCACCTTCATATTCCCTTCCATGCTTCCCTTTCAGAGAGAAGGTTAGGCTTTGATTACCTCTCTTTATTCCTCCAAGCTGAATATCACCAAACAAGGGCAATATGGTCAATTTTATTGATATATCAAAATCATAAATGATACGAGTCTCTCCATTCATGAACAAAATGGTTGAGTTATAATAGCCGATGAAACTAATCGAAAACAGAGGAAATTCACATTAGTCATGTTTTCTGCATTTTTGAAACTTTGTAAAATATCCTAAAAAAGTAAAAAGTTGTTAAAATTCTTACAAATTAACTTGTGAAATTTTCTAAACTTCACAATTTCCAGTCACTTGCATTAAGAGACATGTAGTTTAACAAGTAATGTCAGAAACCTAGAACATTTACACAAGTCATTAGACCAAATTATGTGCAAAGTATAAGACTAAACTACCCTTAAATACAAACATAGTTAGAGCCGATATACACTTAAGAAGTTGTTATAGTTGCGTAACAAGAGATCTAGG